GTCTGCCAATTACGTCTTCCTTCTGTATAAGTAGTACATGTCTGCCAATGACGTCTTCCTTCTGTATATGTAGTGCTCGTCTGTCAATGACGTCTTCCTTCTGTATATGTAGTGCTCGTCTGTCAATGACGTCTTCCTTCTGTATAAGTAGTACATGTCTGCCAATGACGTCTTCCTTCTGTATAAGTAGTACATGTCTGTCAATGACGTCTTCCTTCTGTATATGTAGTGCTCGTCTGTCAATGACGTCTTCCTTCTGTATATGTAGTACATGTCTGCCAATGACGTCTTCCTTCTGTATATGTAGTGCTCGTCTGTCAACTGTTGATAAGGATAACAACTGGACAAACGTCTGACCAAGAAGGGCCATGGGTTAGACCCTGCGCCGGAAATGACGAAATAACAGATCGCACAATACAACGACCAAGACACTCTCACCACTTGAGATCGGAACTACTGCTGCTGAAACTGAAGTCGGAGACTGCCGCAAGTCTTTGTGGAGAACTCAGAAACAGAATTGTAAGCATTGCTTTAACGTGTCTACATTATTGAATCCTTTCTGTATCTGGTCAAATGCCTACATATTAAACACAGATAGAATCACATATTTGATGATTTTTAAAAGTTGGAGGAATATGGAGATGTAAAACATTTTATGGGAAAGGGCAACCCCGAAGTAGCCCTGAAACGTCATTACAAAGAATACAGAAGTTGTCTTCACAGTGTTCCATATCTTCATGGTATTCTTGTAAAAGGACAATGGTGTGTTCCAGTAACTGAGTCAGTGCTAGACATGACCACGACCAGGTTTATATTCCCAAATCTTTCTGACATATAATTCCAGTCTTGATGCCACCCTGTGCTATGTTATTACTAAACGAAGCCTGAAACATAATTCCTTCCTTCATTCTAATTCTTCCTGTGAAACCTTCAACAACTGATGTGATGTACTTTATTAGCGCATTAGATAAAACGGGCCTTGGTTACGAAATCCCCAAATTAACGATGGTGGCACAGTCCCATACCATGTCGTCATCTTCATCATTCCTGTTCCAGGTACGCATCATCCTGCCATCTAATGCCAATGCACTCAACAACTACCCATCCCTGATGCGATTCCCCGAGACTCAGACATCACACGTGGCGGAGGGAAATGTAACTAAAAGCTACAATACCATTTCCATAATAATAGGAAATCTCGATTGTACGAGGTCTATATCATGAGCATGTGTTTAGGAATTATTCTCCGTTAGTGATCTCTATTGTACGATGTCTATATGATGAGCATGTGTTTAGGAATTATTCTCCGTTAGTGATCTCGATTGTACGATGTCTATATGATGAGCATGTGTTTAGGAATTACTCTCCGTTAGTGATCTCGATTGTACGATGTCTATATGATGAGCATGTGTTTAGGAATTACTCTCCGTTAGTGATCTCGATTGTACGATGTCTATATGATGAGCATGTGTTTAGGAATTACTCTCCGTTAGTGATCTCGATTGTACGATGTCTATATGATGAGCATGTGTTTAGGAATTACTCTCCGTTAGTGATCTCGATTGTACGATGTCTATATGATGAGCATGTGTTTAGGAATTACTCTCCGTTAGTGATCTCGATTGTACGATGTCTATATGATGAGCATGTGTTTAGGAATTACTCTCCGTTAGTGATCTCGATTGTACGATGTCTATATGATGAGCATGTGTTTAGGAATTACTCTCCGTTAGTGATGACACCAGGTGTTCACGAAAAGGAAAAGTTGAGCTGCTGGAATAATACCCGATTCCCTTATCATAAAGGGAACGTTGAAGTCATCCCTCTTGTCCTACATTTTGTGGATATTATTTACACTTCTAATCTGTATGCATAGATCTGAATATGGAAAGGATGAGGCAGTTTCTCTGGTATTTGTTTTTAGACGATTAAACGTCCAATCAGTTCAAATTGGGGAGGAGTAATGAAAAAGGTGAATAGACTTGAAAATATTTGCATTGGCTTTCATGCCCACGTTATTCCCAACATCAGTATTTTTTCCATGTGTTTAGGTAACAAACACTCAGCTTTTAATCCAAATTGTGGATTGCTACAAGTAGGGCAGGACATGCTTGCCGTTTTCTTGAAAACCTGGTGTCATCACTGATTTTAGGTGGTCCTTTCATATACTATACACAACTTTGTGTGCCTTTAACGCCAAATGGAATGATGCTTCGGCAGATAATCTAGACTGGCTAATCTCTAGATTGACAATTTTTTTCCCTTGTTCCAAGGTGAAGCACCTACTGCTGTGGGATGTCGAGAGACTCGCTCAAGTCGGGGTGTTCCTAGAACAGATTCTCTTGGAGTACGTTGACTATATTGACGAGATACGACAACTGGAAATCAAATATCGAGAAACAAAGTGCCAAGTCCACCGGCTGCTTGGCATGATGAACCAGGAAGTGACGTCACATGTGTCACGTGATATCATGCCTGATTATTTGCGAAATATATCTGAGTATATTCATCGCAATAATAGAAACTATCTAATTATTAGAGACATGCATTCTGTATTTGATTCTATTGCCAACAGAATTGGACAATTTATGGTGCAGCATTTCACCTGAACTGAGCAGCAACTGAAACTATACATCTCACTTGATTTAATCATATGTTTGATTTTCAATATAGTTAAGTTATCTTAAGTTAGCTATATTATTACAGATGAACTGTACTGGCGCTTAGTCTGAACTCAAAGAATACTTCCGCATGTTTATACATTTGAAAATAGAATTTGAATTAAAACCTTTCAAAATTTTGAATTTGTCGCATAATACACACCTGCTGTAAATGCCTATCAGAGACTTTACTCTGCTGGGTATCTTAGACATATTATCTTTGAAAATCAGTGAATGTCCTTTTTTCGACACAAATTTACAACATTTGAAACATCATTTCATCTCGATGGGCAGTTTAGGACAACATGTTACCTGAATGTGTTTGTGATGCTATACATTTTGCAGGACATGAAAACAAAAGTCATTAACAGCTACATAAGATAAACTTTTGAGAGGCGTTTTTCCATCAAGTTTGAATCAGTGTAGTAGGTATGCGGGTATGTACCAAGTAACAACATTATGAAGAAAACATTTAATTCAAGGATTAGCGACGTTTCAGCCCAGATCTAATGTTGTAGTTATCATATACGACAATGAAATCGTCGCCCTAATGTATTTGTATCATACCGATAAACATTGTTCTTACGTTGCTGCTTATTTCTGCTAGGCGACTGATATTCATCAGTGCTATGCTTTATATTTTAACGAGAGAGGCAACCGTAATATATATAGAGTGATCCATACGAACAAATATGCATATGTAGCTTTTCTTCATATGATAATGTTCGTCTTAATGCCATTACAGAGATCCTTGGTGTATCGGTGAGTGAGTTAATATTTAACGTCACATCGGCAGTATTTCAGCCATATCGTGACGGCTTGGTGTATCAATTATCATGGGTACATGTGAATTACATGCAACGTCTAGAATGTGTTAATGTGTGTGAGATAGTCTAACTATTTATTTATTTATTTTTACATATATTTTATATACTTTTGAATTTCGTTGTCATTATGTTTATGGTTAAATAAAATATCAACTTGTATTTGACGTCGTTATTGTATCGTCATCATCATTGATAAGCTGGAACTAAGTTTAAGTGATGAACTCATATTTCCCCGATATGTCTGGTTATGAAAATTAGTAAATAATTAGATAATGACTGTATCATTATCAAAAACACTTCATTGACGCCCTAGTTACCCGTTCTACTTGACCTGATTTCCCAATGTGCCGAGAAACAACAAAGAAGACGACTGTAACAGACCTTACACACCACCCGTGTATCAGCATGGGTCTCGTTAGTGGTGTGAAAACGGTTCATTTATACCCTAAAATAACCTCTAACAAGAAAGAAGTAAGATATTATAATTGTTTGTGACACTTTAAACTATGTTAAAACGTCATTCCCGTGGACGGCCATATCTGCGGCACAAAGGAAGAAGACGCTGATAGTGGTACATTACAGACCGTGTTTTCAGTGTTGGAAAATGACCCGATGGATAAAGGAATAAAAGGAACTGGGGAATAAGGCATAAACGCACATGGGGAATTAATAGGCACATAGGCATGAAAGGAATTAGGCACAGAAGCAAATAGGGAATTAATGATAAATGCGCGAAGGTAATTGGTATAAAGGCATGTAGGGACTAGACATATAGGGATGTAGGGAATAGGCATATAGGAATGAAGTGAATAGGCATATAGGCATGTAGGGAATAGGTATATAGACATGAAGGGAATAGCCATATAGGGAATAGGTGTATAAGCATGTAGGCATGTGGGGAATAGACATATAGATATGAAGAGAAAAGGCATATTGACATTAGGGAATAGGTATATGGGCATGTAGTGAATAGCCATATAGGGAATAGGTGTAAAAGCATGTAGCGAATAGGTATATAGGAATGTAGTGAATAGACATATAGGCATGTAGGGAATAGGTATATAGACATGAAGGGAATAGGCATATATATATGAATGGAATAGGCATATTGGCATGTAGGAAATAGACTTATAGGGAACAAACATATAGACATGTTGGGAATTTGGCATATAGACATATAGGGAATAGGTATATAGGCATGTAGGGAATTTGGTATATAGGCATGTAGGGAATTTGGTATATAGGCATGTAGGGAATTAGGCATGTAGGGAATAGGCATATTGTCATATAAAAAAATCACCTTTGATTATTGGAGATTCAGAACAGCGGCGTGTCTGGTATAACGAGGTTTCGCTGTACTACCTGCACTTAATGTTGACGAAAGGAGAGAAATACTTAGTGGCCAGTCGTTCATCCATAACAATCGCGGTGCGTCGTACATCCGTCAACAAGGGTGATATAAATAGCTGTCACACAGTGTAGGCGAGGACAGTGACGTGGGTGTCGAACGCCGACGGAAGCCTGCGCCTTGTGGTCGTCTCAAACATCCGGGTTGGTTTTCCTTATAGTATAAAGTCAACGTCTTATCGAAGTCCGGGTAGAGACCAGCTCGCCCGCATTACGTCTGCATGTTAGTCTGTACTCGGAGATCTTTACACGTAACAGACACAGGGACTCTCACCCCGTCTGCATGTTAGTCTGTACTCGGAGATCTTTACACGTAACTGACACAGGGACTCTCACCCCGTCTGCATGATAATCTGTACTCGGAGATCTTAAAACATGATAGAAATACCAGTGGGGAGACTTGCTGCAATGAGAGGTATGTTCATATTTGATATACATGTATGTCTTGAAGATTTGTCTCAGATTTCATTGTATTGTGTTTGTGGTATACTTAATTGTATGTGATTCACATTTGAATTTTAAGAACAGTTCGAGTATTATATTACCGATGACAGATTCACAGATGCGTTGTTTATCTTGTATCCATCCATTACATACGTTGTGTATTCTTACTTCTAATTCTGAAAGATACTATTCGGGTATAGAGTGAGGGCCAAATATTGTATGAACGTTATCGCAAGCTCCGACGGTTATACAGTTTGGCCCTCACTCTATGAAGGTTCATACTCCAATGAACTCACACATTTGAAAGTCAATTCTTAAGTATACCGAGTTCATTTTTATGTAATTGAATATTTATATAACGGTTGTTAAATGTGATTATGTTTGTGTAACCATCACTCATTCCTGCAAAGCTTTGTAAAAAGTTATCTGTGGCTGGGTAATTTTGTGTAAAAATAAATTTGTTCAATGAAGAAGGGGGCAGAAATAAATTTGTTCAATGAAGACAGGGGTAGAAATAAATTTGCTACACTACACTATGTTGTAAAAGTGTGCTAAAAAGGAAATATATAAATATTCAAAGATTAGATTTTTTATTTTTAAAAGTTTACATTAAATTAATTAAAAAAAATATAACTAGAGTGTTCTTTGAGTTAACAAAGTACAGATCATTTTGTGGCTAACTTAAGATATCTTCATATGAAAATCATTTGTATCATAAGATCAAATGAGAGGTGTAGTTTCTTTCGCTGCTCAGTTTAGTTCAACTTATAAAATATCAGAATTTCCATTTACAAAAGCAGATTGGGCGCAAGCAGGTTGACGACAGACAGATAGAAGGTGAACCACACTTACGGCTGTTTTAGCAAGGACGTAAGAAACACAGTGACAAGAAAATGAAAAAAATATGATGTATTGTCATAAATCACATTATGACTGTTTTCAGTTCTCGTGGCCCTACTGTCCTGTCACCTGGCAACAGTGCTGCCTCGGACTCTGGCTGTGTTACCGGAACCAAGTGAGGAGGTCTGGACAGCTGGGTGTGGGAGGCACCCCACTGTCGCTGACCCCACAAGGGCAGTGTCCCCTGTTCCCCCACAAGGGGATATAGCAGTGAATGACAGCCTCGTGTTGGTTCTCCTCATGTCACGCACCGCGGCCAGGATTTGCGATGAGCTCAACAACACAATTGTGAGTTAGCAAGAATACCAACACACGCAAATGCAACGTGAGTGAGTGAGTGAGTGAGTGAGTGAGATATTACGCAGCGTTTATCAATATTTTGGCACTATCAAGGGGAATACATGGACTTTGCACCTTGTATCCATGTGTGGCATCGAACCCGTGCCTTGGACGTGACGAGCGAACGCTTTAACCACTAGGCTACCCAACATAGGCTCGTCAAAAACTGTTTCTTGATTGTGAGTTGGATATGACGTGTTTGTAAATTAACAATCCAGCAATATGAATTTCTCAGGGTAAGAATGTGAGAGAGTGAGTATTGTTTTGCGCCACTTTTAGCAATATGCCAGCAACATCACGTCTGGGGCACTAGAAATGGGCTAACCACATTGTACCCATATGGGGAATCGAACCTGGGTCTTTGGCGTGGCGAGCGAACACTTTGACCACTAGGCTACCCCACCGCCCCGGTAAGAATGTGAACGTTGTATATCTGAAAACCTTCAAATAATAATGTTTTGACTTGGCAAACTGGTGGTTGATGAACAATTTATGCCGTCAGACAAACTTTGACAAATTATACATGACACGCCCCGGTTTAATTGGAAAACCGACCGTTTCCGTGGTCTTTTCGACAGATCGTCTTCCCGAATGTCGATGGTTCGATACCCATCCGCGTCATACTAAAAGACGTTAAGATGGTACTTGTTGTTACCCTGTCTGGCGCTCGGCATTAAGAGGAGTCGATATAAATATCTGGGCGGGGGGATAGCCTAGTGGATAGAGCATTGGCTCGTCACACGTAAACAACTTTGATGACAAATTGTGTTGTCCAAGCATATCTGATAACACAAACCGCTTAACATTCTATATATTTCAAAATTTGAACGCCTTCGTGAGGAATGTACATGCATTTACTATTGATATGTTTATTTTCACACAGAGTTTGGTAGTGAACGAGACGGACACACCAGTAAACGAGTTGGAAGAATCTGAACTTGAGACTCTTCTTAAAGGGAAAACACCTGGCCCGTCTCAACAGGTACGTCATGGAAACCTTCTGATACCGCAACATGGTGTTGTCGCCTTGGGGGTTCAGGGGTAGCGTTGGCTCTCATGTGCTTGGATCGGGTCAGACTTTGTGCCCCTGCTGATTGACCCGATGTCGTGTCCCGATTGAGTGGATTGGTGCTCATGCTTTCATTCACTGGTTTGCCCGGTCCAGATTCAATTATTTACAGGCAGCCGCTTTATAGCTGAAACATTGCCGGCGTGAAACAATATTCACTCACACACCGCATTTACCGGCATTTAGTTAAATGGTTTTTGTAACTTTATTATTCAATAACCACAAATAACCGTGCTTATTATGTATATCATTCCTTTCAGATGGAAGACGTGTTAACAAAAGCCATAACTCAGATGTCACGAATAGGTCTTTTCCTCGAACTTGCTCGTAACGACACGGTGGACTACACGGGCAAAATAACCGAGCTTGAGAGGAAGGTGATGGAGATCGTTTGTCAGATGTACCAGTTGATGAAGGTCATCAAAGTGAAAGTGACGACAAATGTGACACGCGACCTTGTGACCTCTAAATACAGAGATGGCCTTGACACATTAGGCAGACATAAAAGAAACCTGCTCATTACAAGAATTGCGAAGGCGATACTTTGTACATTTGAAGACAGACTTCAAAGTCTCCCACAGATGCAACAGATGGCCCCTCTGAAGAACTGAATGTATTCATTTATTTAATTTATGATTTTTTTTAATTTGTTGAAAAATATTATTTTATTTACAAACGAGATCTGTTTTTAAATTTTATTGTGAAATATCTATTTATTTGTGTATTCGAGTTCTGTGACCATGGACACATGTTTAGTGTACTTAAACAAATGCTCATGGGGTAAGATATGGGTTAAGAAGGTTGAACAAAATATGATGATACAAATCTGTGGGATAAAGTATCCCCTCCCCTACCCCCAACACACACACGCGCGCAACACACACACGCGCGCACGCACTCACGCACGCACACACACGCACACACGTACACACACACACCACCAACAACAACAACACACACACCCTCCAGCCCAGCTACTTTGGACCTGTATCAACACATGAAAATTCCTTCCAAATTAACATCTTTTCGGTTTTGAGGGTTTGGGCGAAACAAATAGACACGTTGCATCATCGCCACCAGGAGGCCATTGCCCAGAAAGGGGCTCGACTGGGTACGTGACAATTAAGTATATTTTAAAAGTTAATAAGGATCCGGTTCGTTGTTTAAAAAAGACCTAAATTCCGGGTTCACGGGTAGAAAGGGTACCCGTTGTTCAGAGCAGTTGTAGGAGCACTACATGTCTGACTTCGTCTGTTTACAAACACGTGTCAGCTACACCCTGAACGAGGCAACAGCGTGACTTACATTATGTAGCAATGGGAGGGGTTTTCCCTTGGAAATATTCCATTATTGTGACATATATCTATGAAGAAATAAAACATAGGTCAAAATATGTATTTCTAGCATGGGATCGATAGGGAAAAATGAGGATTAAAAAAATTAAACAGCCAAAGAAGTTACACATTTCTTTCTAATTTTTAAGTAATTATTATAATAAAAAAAATTAAAAAAATAAAAATAATAATAATAATAAAAATAATAATAATAAAAAAAATAAAAAAAATAATAATAACACCTGGTGTCATCACTGATTTGAAGTGATCTATTCCTCTCATTTTCAACACTAGTTTCCAAATGGAGTCTGTTTCGTCAGATAATCGCGACTGGTTATTCTCTGGCATTGACGTTTTATATACATGTATAATGAAGGTGCTGGTCAGCTGGTTAGCATCAGACTTCGAATAGCTGATATGGCTGATGTCACTGCTATTTTGCATAAATTTTATCTGTGCCAATTAATAATATTTCTTTCAATTGTATCACAATATCGAAACAAACGTTTTCAATTCATGAAACGCTGACAATACTCTGTACGAAGAGGCTGGTATCGTGGACTGATGCTCGATATGGCTGTTAGATATGTCATTATGTTATGAAGTAATTCAACAGGAGAGATCATTTCCGAAAATGTTTCCCTTCTCACAAACTGCCCTACCTTGCTGTCTGTTGTACAGTCAGGCATTGCATCACATACTACGTAAAGCGGATCTACGTTATGCCAAGGTGCGCCTCAGGTCATCAGTCTTATAAATCTTCCAGTTGACGTGAGAAAAAGAATGGGATTATTATACAATAACACCCACAGGGGGCAGGAACATGAGCAGTTATAAACGTGGCGAGGGCCGCCGACCACGACTGCTGCAGTTACGGTAAAAGGGAGGCAACTCTCCCGGCCATGAACAAAATGAAGCAGCCCATGTTCGCCTTTAACGCTGCCACTACTTAATGCTGCCACTACTTAACGCTGCCACTACTTAATGCTGCCACTACTTAATGCTGCCACTACTTAACGCTGCCACTACTTAATGCTGCCACTACTTAATGCTGCCACTACTTAACGCTGCCACTACTTAATGCTGCCACTACTAATTAATGCTGCCACTACTTAACGCTGCCACTACTTAATGCTGCCACTACTTAATGCTGCCACTACTTAACGCTGCCACTACTTAACGCTGCCACTACTTAACGTTGCCACTACTTAATGCTGCCACTACTTAACGCTGCCACTACTTAATGCTGCCACTACTTAATGCTGCCACTACTTAATGCTGCCACTACTTAACGCTGCCACTACTTAATGCTGCCACTACTTAATGCTGCCACTATTTAATGCTGCCACTACTAAAACTACAGATATGAGACAACCCAGCTGTCTGTTTTCTCCAGCGAAGCAGAATATAGAGTCGCCTTGTTGGCTCTGTCTTCCAGCATCACGGCCGACCTCGTCTGTCACCAGACTGTAAACGAGCTAGGCACTTTCCTCCAGCATAACAACCACCACTTACGTAAACTGACGAAAACCGCATATCAGCCGCTCAATAACTGTGCACTCCCCCCTCCCTATACCCTTCTGTCATATATTAATGCACATTTGAGTGACGCCCATTGTGCGTGGCCTTTGCGTACTTCCATTTTTTCATGATTGCCTTTTGTGAGGTGAGGCGAAATGGCTTTAACGTCGCGTCCAAGATATTTGCACTTATATAGCGACGTACATGTGTGTGTGTGGTTGTACTAGTCCGGACTGATGCCGATTTTAAAGTGCTAGCACACTGAGATGCTATGCCGCAGTAAAACAGACACTCAGACAAAGTATACTGATTCCGAGCCGACCAGTCCTTGTTAGCTCCTTATACCGAGCGTCAGACAGGGTAACAACAAGTACCATCTTTAACATCTTTTGCTATTACGCGGCCGGGGATCGAACCCCGGACCTTTCGCTCTCCGGGCGGAGGCTCTACCACTAGACCACGGAGACGGTCTTAGTCGTTTGTGAAGAACACTAGTAGCTAGATGTGTGAGTCGGTTTAACGCTGCTTTAAACAGTATTTCAGTTTCAGGGCGTGGTTATTCCATGAGAGTGGAAAGCCCATATTGATGCCCTCGTAGACGTTTACCACTTTCAGGAAATCAATGAGCTTCGGATTTTATGCTGACTGATCAAACGTCGTAATCTGATTGAATCAGCTGAGAGAGCCTTCTAGTCGAAGAACAAAAAGATTTCTAAAAAGTCTATGCTAAAGTTTAAAAGGTGGGAAAGATCGCGTTGATCGATTCTGTAATTAACCACACACACAAACATTGGATGTATCACTCGTACAGGAAGTAACTGTGGTTTAACACCGCTGTCAGAAATATGGCATTGGCACTACGTACATAATCGAGTCTGACCAGACAAACCACTTGTTGATAGGTGACGATCCACGCCAATGCAGTATGATATGATAAAGTCAGCTGATAAGTACACGATATATTACAGGCTGTCGTGCTGGGGTCTGCCCAGGAATCACGCCATCGTTAACACAAATGTAATGACCTTTATGTCTCTCTTACCCTTTAAGATCCGGGGTAGAATTGATCTTCCGCAACCCATGTTTTGCTGGAAAAGGTGACTATGCTTGTGGTAAAGGGCGACTAACGGGATCGGGTGGTCAGGCAGCATTGTTATCTAGTATTTACTGCCAAAAATGAAGTTAAATATACAGTATTTTTTATCATCTTTTCTAATTTAAGGGTCACTGGTCAAGCATTCACTCGTTACGAAGTAATGTTTTGCTTGTCGTAAGAGGCGACTAACGGGATCGGGCGGTCAGGCTCGCTGACATAGTTTATGCATGTCTTCGTTTTTCAATTGCGTGGATCGATGTCCCTGATGCCAATCACTGGAATATTGCTGCGTCATACAACAAACAAACACATAATGCCTCTCACTTCAGTAAGTAGAAGCTCTAAGTATATCATTTATATTAATTTACAATCGTCATCCAATGAAACCATGAGCCAAATACATTTAGATGTATCCTAATAAAATAATGAGGCTTAATGGTGATGGACCGGACGTTTGTACATCACCAAAAGCATCACCGTACCCCTTTGGAGTATGGTGGCAGGAGGCCACTACGTCCAACGCTGAAGAGGCTGACATGATGGCTGGGTGATCACGGTGGATGGCGGCTGGTGCTCAGCTTGTGCCTTGTTTAACTGATGTGTACTACACTCTCATGTCCAGGTAATCTCCGACGGCTAGGGACGCTGCTCATGATTTCAGTCACTGGTTTGCTTGGTCCTACAGGCCACCGTGATATAGCTGCAATATTGTTGAGTGCGGCCTAAAACAGCATCTACTCACTCACTCTGATGTCGAAGTACGGTGCTCGTACATACGAATTAATCTATATTTTATGCCATGGATCCAAAGATTTCGAGTTAATGACATTTAAATACGTAAGGTGAAGATCTACACATTGATGTATTTATTCTGTTACTGCGTGTTGATATACATGTGTTTATCATGATTGATGACTTTGACCTTTGGATTTTTCTACAGTCTGTTGTGAACTCAGTGCATCCTGCAGTTCCACCATTGGTTGTCTCCCTTTATAATACTTTCCCCTGTCAGACAAGGAACTTCGCATTTGAGGACGTTTAGATTTTAGAAATGCCTCATTATGTGTTATTTATGTATAAATGTACTATTTCTATATTTCCGTTAAACATTTATTCGTCAAACAATGCGTGCCCAAGATGATTCTATGGGAACCCTCCTCCGGGAAACGGAATAGCATAGCATAAGAATCTTAGGAAACTTTCAATTTCTTGTTTATCGTATAACCAAATACAACTTACCCATGATAGACTCATTATATAGAGAATCTCACCTGAGTGTCTTTTGATATCAAATATATCAACACAAATTGATAAAAGTGGGAAAACTCTGAGGCTTGCCGAGGACTTTTCCCGCTTTTATCAACGATTGTTGATATATTTGATATCAAAAGACACGAGGGTGAGATTTTATTTATCATCCAACATTATTCTTCCATTTTTTTTCAGTTTGTAGATACTAATAAGCAGTGTCTTAAGTGTGAGGGGGCACGGGTGGCCCAGTCGTCTAAGGCGCAGCTATTTGCTGTGCAGAGTTGCATCCCTTGGTTACGCCAGAAACATATGATTGTGGGTTCGAATCCCGGTTCGCCCCGATTATGTTTCTAGGTTTGTCAGCACCATATCCGAGCTCGTGGGTTTCACCGAAGTGGTAAACGTCTGAGACCTACATCACTTCGGACTTTCCTCCCACATTAAGCTGACACGCCGTGATATAACTGGAACACTGTTAAAAGCGGCGTTAAAAGCCCAACTCACTCACTCACTCACTTGTGTGTGAAAAGTACCGCTAACAGCTTCAGTAGCAGAACCATTAGTGATGTCATTTGATCGTGTCGTTATGGTAACCAATGTAGTCACAATGGTTTGATCTCACCCAAGCATATCCTGTGGGGGCCAGTTTGGGATGATAAATGGAGCTTGTGGCCAGTTATTGGGACACATTGATTCAATTGTCAGAGTTGGAGTTTTATTGTTGGAGTGAGTGAGTGAGTGGGTTTGATTTTACGCCGCTTTTAGCAATATTCCAGCAAGATCACGGCGGGGGGACACCAGAAATGGGCTTCACACATTGTACCCATGTCGGGAATCGAACCCGGGTCTTCGGCGTGACGAGCAAACGCTTTAAGCACTAGGCTACCCGACCGCCCCCTTTATTGTTGGAAAGAATTAAAATAAAACTATAATACTTTGATACATTTTTCTAAGACATTGGTGACGCGAGTGGCTATCCTGATACCGTCCTAGCAATGCCCCGCGATTGTCTAACTGAACTGCTGTATCCCTGAGCGAAGATGTAGCGCAGTTGTAATTTAACCGTCGACCGACCAACAAGGAGGTGATCCAAAAATACGTTTTTAGAAAAATAAATATTTCTATAAATATAACATGTTGTTATTCAGTATTTCCGTAATTACTGATGTTTTCCCCACTAGTGACCATATACATGTAGGATGTATTTCTCCTATAAATATATTCTGTGACTTTTTTTCTTCTATATTTAACGTTTAATAATTGCCTGAATTGTTTAGATCGCTATATGACAGTTGCTCTGTACCAGTTATATTCTTTAAAAACAAGAACATGTTTCTGAAAGTTGTGCTGTATAATATCTACCGATTTTATTTAAGTCCGTCAGATCTAACAAAATGGCGGTAATCGATTAAAGTCAGATATTTTACTGACGAGATCTCCGGTCCTAAGAAGATCGTGACATTTATCGCCAGATTGTTCCGCAATAAGCCCATGGGAGCACGTTCAAGATAACGTTTGCTGTCAAATATGTTTATCTCAACACAAATACACCCAGCATTCTCGAAGAAAGATTTATAAAATCGAAACGAGATTACTTTCATAAGATAATAAATGTTAATGTGAATATCTCCAAACTTTTTAATGACCGTGTATGGGAAAATACCTCACAAAGAGACAAATAAATATATTTAAAGCAAACTAGATTCTATTTTTGACCGTTTGACTGCTTCAACAGATGATTGTTCCCCATACCGTCACAAGATATTTCCGCATGCGTCATTCAGCCATAATCAAGATATCCTCAGTACACATACTTTAATACAAAATGTCAATGACAGAGGTTATCAACCGAAACAGATTCCATCTCGTCTTCAAGGCAACAAAGTGGTGAAACTATAGGCATTTATTGCTGAAAATGCAATACATGTATACATCACGGCAATTATATAGGCGAATATAGAGACGATGGACGTATGTTCAATGTCAGTCACTGATTGCTATGTGTGATTGAGGTAATACACCTCCCACCCTTCCTTGGTTATACACTTCACATTAATGTAACAAATATAACAACACGTAATATCACTGATATACACATACATACATACATACATACATACATACATACATACATACATACATACATACATACATACATACATACATACATACATACATACATACATACATACATACATACATACATACATACATACACAATGTAGGATTGAGTTGTTTGCATATACGAAAAATGTAGAATTGAGCTATTTTCATATATGATCAATATTGAATCGAGCTGTTTGTATAACGAATAACGTGGAATTTAGCCATTTGCATATACGAATAATGTAGAATTGAGCTATTCGCATATATCAATGATGTAGAATTGAGTTACTTGCATAATGAACAATGTAGAATTGAGCTATTTGCATCATGAATAATGTAGAATTGAGCTGTTTGCATATATGTTCAGTGTCGAATTGAGGTATTTGCATAATGAACAATGTAGGATTGAGCTATTTGCATAATGAACAATGTAGGATTGAGCTATTTGCATATATGAACAATGTAGAATTGAGCTATTTGCATATATGTTCAATGTAGAATTGAGCTATTTGCATGTATGAGTTAATAAACAATACAAACAATTATTTTGAATATGAACAAAAACATCACTCGAATGTTGAATACATCAAATGATTAAAGGGACAGAAGTAATATTCTACGAATTATTACCAAAGTACCACAAACGTCACAAGAAATGAGTACTTATGATACTTTTTTAACAGGTTTTGGCTCTGGGTCCTTATATCAACCTTAATGTATTAACTTACAAATATATATTCTATTATATGGTCCAATTTCTGGAAATTCTGAAAATGTTGTGTCTACGATTTTCAGCGCTATTTCCTACTTTAAGTATTAACATTAACTATTTATACTATTAACCCCATTTGGATATG